TGTATTTGCTAAAGTGTTTTAATTAAGAGAGGTATGTGAACTGTATCATAAGCTTTAGACATATCTTGTGCCAAAATCCAGTATTGGCTTTCTGTTGTATTGGCATATTCTATTATATAAAAAACAGTTTGTATGGGTTGAAAAGTTGAGATAAAAGGAAGTATGACATTGTTGTTTTTATTTAATATTGAGTGTTGAGTAAAGATCTTGTTAAGTCAAAGAGTAATTATCTTGGTGAAGATTTTTCTGGTATGTTCAATTAATGTAATTGGGCAAGTATAGGTAAAATTATTGTTGTAATGTTGTTTTTTTTGAGATTGCCTATATGTTTGTGTCCTCTAACTACTTGGTGTTTTTTTTATTTTGAGATATGCATTAAAGATGTTTAATAGTATTTGCTTTGCTACTTTAGATAAATGTTGTAGCATTTTGTTTGAGATCTTGTAGCTTTATAAATTGGTGAAGATGTTATAGTTTCTATTAATTCTTGTAAGGTTATTGGTTGTAACAAGCTATTGTATATGTTAGAATTGATGTGTGACGGAGGTTGTAAAGCAGATGCCCATTCTTGTTCGAATTGAATATTTGTTAAATTGCATTTAGTTTAGTTGTTGAAGTGTTCTCTTGTTGCTTGTTTTATTTCTTCTGGATTATTAATTATTTTGTCTGATGTTATAATCTTATTAAATAAAACCTGATCTTGGTTGCATTTGAGTATACTGTTTATTATTTGAGATGTATTAGTCTCCATATCATTGTATTTTCTTTGAATATAATAATTGATTTTTTTCTTTTTGTACATTTTAAATTTCAAGGCTTTGAGCTTTCTATAAGGTCTTTTGGAGATGTTTCAAGAATTGCAAGAAGAGATGGTAGTTGAATGTAATGTCTTGGATTTGACAAAAATTGATAGACTGGTCTGTGTAAGAGAATATTTGTTGTAGTAAATTATTAGTATTTTGTATAACAGAATTTATCAAAGTTTGGGATCTTAAATGTCTAATATCATTTAGGCATTTGTTTGTAAGTTTGAGTGTCAAATGTAATTTGGTTGCTTTGAGAGAATAAGCATAATATGTTTTAAGAGTTGTATAAGTTTTTGGTATGATTTGGTTTGCAACTTTCTTAATTGAGTTTGATCATTTGTTCCAAATTTTGTTTAGTTGTTGTATTCTTGTGTTGGAGGTATTGATTTAAATTCTAATTCGAGTGCATTAGTAAAATCTTCCTATTTGTCTATTGACATTTGATGATATAGGTATATTATTTTTTTTTTCTTTTTAGATCAAGGTAGTTTTAGCTGAAAGTTTGTTTTTTATATAGTAACAATTATTTTATGATCACTGTTTGTAATATCTACTAGATTGATAATTTTAGATAGACTAAAGTCTAGTAAAATTTCTAAGTTAACCTATATGTTATCTATTTGGCTTTGATTTGATTCTCTTTGCCATATAGATTCAGTTATTGCATAGAATTCTATTAGGCTGATAGATGATAGTGATTGAAGTGTAATAAAGAGATTTGATGTTCATCTAAGATGATTATGATTATTATTAAAGTCTCCTATTGTAATTATATATTAATTATAGCTTCTTACTTGTGATAACCAATTGTTGACTATGTTTTGCATAGTTTTAAGTTGTTCAAAATAGTTTGATAGAAGATATACAAAGATAAAACAAAGCTTATTGTTTGAAAATAAATAAAAGTCAATGCTTATTGCTATGCCTGCTACTGTTTGTATATTAAATATATAAGATTAAAGTTTGTAGTAAAGCATGATTGCAGTTCCCATACTAGTTTCATGTTGAGAATTATCTTTTGGTTTGAAATTAGATGTGTAAATTTTGTAAAGTGAATTGAAAAGTATTAAGATATTAGAATTTTTGAGTTTAGTTTCTGTGATTGAGATAATATGATAGTTGTTTTTGACACAGTATTCTAACTAGATCTGTAGTTTTAGTGGCTCATTAAGTCTCTATACATTGTAAGTTACAATATTAAGATGGTTTTTGATATCTATAAAGCTTTCATTAAGAAAAGTTTGTAGTATATTAATAGAGTTATTATTGTTTAATTTAAAAGATAATATGTTTTGTTTTTAAGATATTGAGGCTAAGCTATTATCTTTTTTTGTTGTTGTCATTTATTTTACATATGGGCAAAATATTCATCAGTTGGGTTCTAGGAGAGGTTAACATATGAGAAGGAATTCAGAAATTTCTTTTATTGTATAGTGTTCTCTTAAAGTTTTCAGTATTTTAGTTGCTTTGTTTTGTTAGATAATAGGTAGGTCTATATTTGTCATTTCTATGTTTTTTGTATTTATTTCTTGTATTTTCTTGATTGAGTCTGAAATTTCAGATTTTTGGTCTGATAATATATCAGAACCAATGTCTCATAAGTGCACATCATTAGTTATTTGGATCCAGATATCTGGAATTTTTTAAAAGTAATATGTTTGTTTTAATATTTATGCTGTTTCTGTAAGTCTTTAGGTATATCAATTGGTAGGGTTAGATTGTAGTCTGTAATTTCAGAGGGGTTTATGAGTAGTCTAAGTTTGTTAGTTGGGTTTGCTGTTATAATTGTTTTTGAAAAAAATATAGTAAACTTATAAGTGCTTTTGATTTTATTATGAAGTTTTTTGTTATTGTATTGTTAGTAATCAGGAAGGAGTAAGTATTTGTAGTTTTGATTTTAGAAAGATCTTTTGGAAGATTTGATTTTGCTTTAAAATAATCATTTGATATGATTTGAAAAGTGTAATGCTCTCTTAACCATGCTGTTATATCTTCTATGTCTACTAGAGGGTCTGCTTTATTGATTGGGAAGTGTTGTCTAAGTTGTAGGTCTTCTATATCTTAGTATATCTATGGTAAAAAGGATTTCATAAGAATAGGTGATGGTAATTTAAAGTAATAACTAAGTATTTCTTTACAATTATAATGGTCTTGAAGTCATTTTTTATAGTAGGCTAGTCTTGTAAGTTTTTTTTTTGTGTAATTGGGAATAGGTTTTTTATTGCTTCATCTAAGTCTTCTAGATTTGCTAATAAGGGTGGAAGTTTGGTAAAATAAATTTCTGAAAGTTGTTCAAGAGTAAATTTTGTATAAAACTGTAACAATTGCTCTTATCTGTGATCTATGTTTAATTTGTAAAGTAAAAAAAAGTATATTTTGTATTTCTTCTAAAATAAATTCTGGTGATTTAGGTAGTTTTGCTAAATATGATATTAGGACATTATTTAATACTTCTTGAATTGCTTCTGTATCTATTGCAGCTTCATCTTTTGTAAAACTCTTATAGTATTTTAAAGCTTTGGCTATATGTTTAGAAGGTCGAGTTTTGAAGTTCAAGTTTGTTGTATAATCTATAATTAATTTCTGTCTTAGTTTTATGTGAATTAGATTTCAAGTGTCTCTGTTGATAATAGTAATTGCATTTGTAGTTTTATAATTTTTTAGTACCTCTGTAAACATTTGGTTGTATTCAGATTGGTATAATAGTATGAATTTTTTAACATGTATAAAGGTTGTGAAGAAGGTTGAATTGATATATCTAAATTTTACTTTAAATGCAGGAGAGATTGGTCTTTTAGTTAGCTTTGATTGTAGTTTATATATAATAAATGCTTATATCTTTTCTTTAGATCTGTATACTTCAATTATACTATCATATAACTATTCTTTGTTGTTAAATAGTGTGGTAACTTTGACCTTCAGGTTATCATTTACTTGTTGAGTTTATGTTTTTGTATAGTCAATTTCCATTTCTGTTATATCACTTATATTTGCATCTTTTTGAACCATTTGACTATATATAGGTTTGTTGTTCGCATTTAGTATTATAGGATTGTTTGTTTGTTCTATTTTTGTATCCATTTAATTGCTTTGTTCTAGTTCTGTGACTTGGTTGCTATTTGCTATTACTTTATAAGAGTTTTGCAATTCAATTGATATAGGTTCTATGTTATGTTGATCAACTATTTTTATATCTGGTATTTGATTCTGTAGCATGGTTGTTTGATTTCCTTTTATAACTATATGAGCTTGTGTATTATGTATAATAATTATTGTGTTGTTTTTTTTTTCTGTGATATTTGTTATGTTATTGTTGTTGCCAGTTTGTAATGTATTGTTGTTATGCTGATTTGTTTGAGATGATGTCATTGCTTGTTTTATAAAAGGTATGCTGTATTACTCACTTTTATTGCTAGCTGTAATTTGGAAAGAAATAGTATGTCTTTTTTTATTATATGCATATTTGTAAGTAACATCTAGGTTAGTATAATGTTGTTGCTATCTAGTAGAATATTTGTGATTGCTGCTTATCATGTCTGATATTTTTATTTTGTAACTTGCAATACCGCTGGTCTTGATAGACTTAGTTTGCCTTCCTGATTAAAAATATTGAATTTTCTCTTTTTACTTTTGTCTTGTATAGTTAAAGTGGTTGTATCTTTGCTTTGTATCTTGTACAAGTAGTTTTTTTGCCTGGAGTGGGCTTTTTTATTTAGGTCTTCTTCTATTGTATCTGCTATTTTTCTATTTTTTTTGTTTTTTTGCCTCTGCTAATTTTTATAATTGAGATCTGCAAGGGAGAGTTGCATTTAAAAAACACCAATTCAAAATTTTACTATAATAAATAAATAATTTAATTTATAATATAAAATTTTTTATTAATTAATTAAAAAAATATATATATAGTTACTATATAAATATTTTTTTTGCAACTAATTGTATATAAAATAATCTACATTACACTCTACTCTTAAAAAATAAATAAATAAAAATTAAATCAAATAAAAATTATTAAGATTTAAACAAATCATTATTAAAAGAAATGTAATAATGACTTTTTTTTTTAAAATATTCAAGAAGAGGATAATAGTGACTTTATTTATTATTAAACATATCAAAATATATAATATGATTCATATTATTTTAATTTGCATTGACTAGAGTTTTAGACATTATTTTGAACAAATTATGCACTTTCTAATGCGACAGCAGTCTTACTTTTTACATAAAAAGGGCCTTCATGCAAATATCGCCTGAACTGTTCTAGAATGTTAGGTGCAATAATATTTTCAGAACCAGGTGACTCATACAAGGTTTGAATAATGGCGAACTTCCATTCTTTTCCCTTGTGAGTGGACTCATTAGAACGATCAACTATATAGTCAATAAATTCTTTACAGTTTACCATTTCAGTTTTACCCCATGGATGAAATGCTATTTTTTGTAAGTTTGCAAAACTAATCATACGCAATTCTTCGACCCCACATTTAGCATTTGCGATTAGAGATGTAAGAGGTGTTGGATTACCTATATAAAACAATCAAAAATAAGTAATTTAATATTATATATGGGCTGAGTACCAATAAAAGGAAAAGGATTCGCGGAAAATCAAATTTTATGTTATAATAAATCATACGAGTTGTACTTATGCTTGCTATCGAAACCTAGACAAATCCCAAACTTAAACATTATCTAATTTTATAAAAAATCAAAAAAAATGGAGTTGGGATTTTGAAAATAATATTCTATATATCTTACTTAGATAAAAGACTATTAATAAAGTTTTTATGAAATTAGTTGTCCAAAGTTTGGGATTTGGGTGTAGACAAACCCGAACTATAAGAGTTTGGATTTTGGGCGGCAAGTATAGTTGTACTCAATATTTTAATAATATACCAAATTTTCTATCTTATAAAAGTGACACTCATAATAGTAAACTTTCGGTATAAGTAAGTGAAGAGCAGTTTATACAAAGACCCTCTCAATAGTGACTTTACCCAAAATTTACTAATAGGCTCTTGATATAGTGAAGATAACTTCACAGCCCGATCACTTCACTATAACGAGAGTCACTTGTACAAGAAATAATTCTAATGTTGTTCCAAATTGATTTATACAAAAAAAAAAAAATATTCAAGAAAATTTTTGATTTCCCTCTTTTATAGCACTTATCCCATATAATAACTGACTGAGACAACATAAGATTTCAGTTGGACCACGTACCTCCCATCTGATGATAGATTTGCTCAGCAATATCGGACAGTTCTTTGGTCGGTTTTTCACTATTAAATCGTATTTGTCAAATCTATTCGCAAACAATGGCGTCCTAAATGTGGTGTCACATACCTTACACCGAGTAAGCACGATATTGTTTGTAAACATGCCAACTTCACATCACCTGAAGAACCATTATAAAGATCCATAAAGTCTCCTAGCGAATTAGGTGAAACACTCGAAGACAAGAGCTTCAGACCATGTTCATTATGACCTATCACTCCAATAATATGGATTGAAGTAATCTTGAGCCCATAAAGGTTTAGAATATCAGTAAACCTATTGAAAAGATTAATCAATAATTTGATACACTTACTTTGAGATCCATATTATCACTTAATAAATGTGCATCAATTTGTCTTAAGATATTGTATTTATCTTCCACTTCAGAGAAATCTATGTCCTAGAAAATGGTACTCAAATTATTAATAATTAATACATAAAACCATCATAATAAGATAATTGAGTAATTGCGGCCAACCTCTACTTCACATAATTTTCCAAAGAATTTGAGTACAGCACATTTCTCTAAAACTAGTGTAATGTCTCGATCATCATCCTTTGACAAAATATCAACAAAGGACTGTAGAATTCCAGTCTTTTCAAAAAAGGAATAACCAACTCGACTTTGAATAATCTTATTTTAAAATATATAAATAACAATGAATCTCAATGACGTTATATACAAGTTAAGTAAAAGTGTATTATCTATAGTACCTTGGATAGAGTTTCTATTGCATTTAACTTTATCAATAAGTCATCAGTATTTAGTTCTGATGTTATTGCTTCCAGAGAACCGGACGATTCACATAATTGAAATGCTTCTGGTGAAGATAATGATATTCGAGCCATCAGATCAAACACACGAAATTTTACAATTCCGTTACTAAATTTATTGAGATAGAATAAAAATCAAATCTTTGATGATTGAGAACTGGCATATAACAGAGATGATTACTCTTTGGAAAGTCTATTTAGAATTGCTATCGATTCCGGATCGAAGAAAACTTGTAAACAATAAGAACTAGTTGTAACAAGCTAAATGTATAAAACAATGTTGTTAAGTATTTGTCGTGAATTCATAATTAATAACTTATGCTGATATCAGATAATAAATTCTTACAAACTTTGACAAGAAGTTCTAATATTCTAGTTGATGTCGGTATATCGTCGAATCCCAAACTTTCCAACATAGCAGGAAAAAGAGGCGATTTAACCTAATGTAATGTGATTAGACAACTAAGTAATAAAAGTACATACTCATAACATTTCAAATATATAAGTATACAGTTAAGATACCAAATCTTGGATTGCTTCTTCTGACTCTTGACATTTTTCAATTTGATTCATTGTAAGAATTCGAACTTCGGGAAATTCATGTTGCAAACCTAGCATCAAATATTCCTAGATCAAAACATTTAATAACCATAAAATTCAACTATTACACTCGATTAAAAACTCGTATTTATTGGGAATAAAACCTGAAGTCCAAATGAATTTATATCGGCATAACTCATGGGCCGTAAAAGTTTATTGAGAACTTTACAAGTAGCTAAAGAAATCACGTCTTCATAATTCCCAAGAAGCGCGAAAAATTCTGGAATAGGTATAGCTTCAAGAATAGTTTGAGCTCTTTGTGTTCCATTTGGGCCTAGAAAACACATTATAATGAGATTTATACTTTTTAAATATAACCTTGGTTTAATCATTCGAATTTTTCAGTAGCGTGTAATGGTACATAAGTAAAAACACTCACCTTCAAGCGATAAATTCATGATCTCCAAAGCACTGACTAAATCATCACGAACAGTTTTGCCAGGTGATCGCAAAAAGTTTTTTACCGTATCAATGTCAGTCATAATAATAAATATCGCTTGAACACAGTCAACTATCGAAATAACGGAAAAATCTAGCTGGCCGCGAAATATTCTGTGCTCGGTTGATGATCATGTGATGGTGATCATATGAAATTCAACGAACTTACGTAACATTCGAGCTAATTGATCTGCATGTGACCAGAAATTCTGAAACTTTCAATAATTTTTGCAGTTCTGTGCATTTCATTGTATATCGATTTATTTCGAAAATAAAAATTTTGTCTCGGCATAGAATTTGTAAATATGAAACTCGTAAGGTAAATTGAGCTCTGTATGAATTTGGCTTTTACATTGGTCCAAAGTTGGCTATAAAAAAATTTCTCGGTTTTCATTTACATAAAAGTTCATACGCGTTAATAGAATTTTTAATATATGTGCATACATGTCATTAGGTTTTTAATGAAATTAAATAACGAAACCGTCACGATAGAGCTCAAAAATGGAACAATAGTCCATGGAACCATTACTGGTATTTATCTAATTTGAGTTGATCTTTTGCTTTGAACTAACCTTTTTAATATAAAGGGGTCGATATGAGTATGAATACCCACCTTAAAACCGTCAAAATGACTGTGAAAAACAAGGATCCGGTCAATTTGGATTCCTTGAGTATCAGGGGAAATAACATTCGGTATTACATTTTACCAGAGTCTCTCCAATTGGATACGCTGTTGGTTGATGATACGCCGAAAGCTAAGGCTAAAAAGAAAGAAAGTATGTCTCGATATTCATAGGATGTCTTATTTTAAATGAATTGCAATGAGATATGATTTTATTATGACAATACATTAATTATTAATAATAAATACTGCTTGTTTAATTAATCATAGCTGTAGGTGTTGGTCGTGGTCGTGGACGCGGACGTGGTACTCGCGGACGAGGACGTGGACGTGGACGTTAGGAAAGGAAGTGACTCCACACGCGTCATTATGTATTAAGTTTAACATAAATCATTCAAAATAATAAAATGTCGGAAAAAAATGCAACAAAATATTGTTTCTTTATGATATAAAAAACTGCGTAATTAACAAATTCAAATCTGTCTATATAAATTGATAAGTATGTTAGTAATCTTATGAAATAAATAGTATTTTTTGTTGATAATTTTGTTTTTTCCCGCATTTTTTAATTAATGAATTACGTTAAACTTCATAATTGTCATACAGATGCTTACCATATTGATCTCTCATATACTCCATAACGGTCGTTCTTAGTTCTATATAAAAAATATATGATAATAAGTATTTATTTCTTGTGCAATTTCAAATAAATTTGTTAGAATTTTATTATATTAAGATATTTATATATAAATGAAAAATTATCCTCTGGTATTTTATAATCTAACGTAATTTTTAAATTAGATTTGGTAACTTAGTTTTTTAGTTTTAAATTTGGAGTTCTGCAAATTTTAATTTCAACATACCGGACTTTTGAAAAATCGATATTATGTAATTTAATCAACGTATGATTAATGTTCTGGAGGTACATAAATATAACCCATATTATGTATACAATCGAAACGATGATGACATTATTTTGGTTTTTTTTTTTTTTGGTTTAATTTGAAAGTGGCAGTCTTTAACATCAAAATAATAAATATAAATGATTGTTAAATTTTAAAGGTAAACCATTATCATTATAAAATTAAGGGTTTATTTATAAATGACCAATTGATTTTTATTAACAAGTTATTTATTTATCTCTAGATAATTTAATATTTAATTCCATTCAGTAGTAGCTTAAACTTATATCGCATAAAGAACGTGATTTCTTTTAACAATCGCAATCAAATTTTAATATTATAAATAGCTGACTTTTTCAATCACGTCAATTTTGTGTCTTTGGAATTAAATTTTGCCCACATATTTTTAACATATGTCAACCATCTTAAGGACCTTGAACATCACGCAGTGACGCAGCTCTATTATGCACTACTGTCCAATCAACGCATTCCCAAAACCGATCTATATACGTCTCTTTACCATGAATTCCAAAATCCTTAAGATATGCATGCTCCCAAACATTTAAACATAATAATGGAGTGAATTTAGATTTGTGTGGTGGTGGATCTACTAGATTCAATGCTATGGAAGGTGGTGGAACTGGTTTAGAAGAGTTAGCATTTTGAGCAAATTGTGAGGACATTTCTGAGGAAGTAGTCAAGAATGGAGATGACAGGAAACTTGTTGGATGATTGTTTGGATCTTTTTCTTGAAGACGAGTAATGTCAAGAGTTGTGCCTATTGTGATATGAATTATAGTTAAATGCGTTAGTACAGCATAGGATCATATTGAATTAGTGCCCAAATTGGTCGATGGGTTATATTTAAGCTGATATTGTTTTTTCACCTGCGTTATAAGTGTTTACTACTCTGAATTGTTTAAATTCTGTTTCAACAAGCCTTATTGAAGATCATAGATAATTAGAATACATTCGTTTATCTTTACTAACTTTAATTTTTTGTAATTACTTGCCATGTCCATCCGGAACCAAATAGTCCCAATGCCATATCTTTAAACTATTTATTGATATATGATGAAGCGATTAGAAAATTTCTGAATCGGAAGTGAAGTTATAAATAACAATCATTGGACTTACATGGGTTTTAAAATCGCTTATTGATCCAAATGTTTGTTTGATTCGTTCGTGGAAAAATGTTTCTAGAGATGTCTCACCCTTTGGTGTCTATGATCCCAATAAAGATTGATTTAGTATGAAATTTAATTCAAGGTGACAAAAACATTGGAAGTTTATGCGAAGATACAAACCAATCCCTGTAAAAAGAAATCATTGTTCCATGCCTGAGATGCGTAATTAAATATTAAAGCCTTCGATGGTTCTTGTGCAGTTTTGGTTATTATTTCATAAATTGTGTAATCCGAAAATTCTGTATCTGAAAAAAAATATAGAGATATATACATGTTTTTTTTATTTTTTATAAATTAAAAACCAAAATTCTTCTAATAGTTACCTGAAGTAAGTTTATTCAAATTATCAACAAGAGTGGATTGATAATCAATTAATTCTTTAAGACTTTTTTCTGTGAACAATGGTTGAATTCCATTATCTATAGCATAAGGAAGAGGAACAACCGAATGCAATTGCCTAACATTTTTACGTCTACAAAAAATATATAACGGTCTATGATGACTTTTATAATGGAATTCATTAATTTGAGTGTAAAATGTATTGTTGAACCGTGTTAAAAAACGGTGTACTGATTTAAAGTTTTTTTGTGTAAAATACATTTTTAGCGATGAAGTGAAATTGGTGATAGGTTTTATTTTATTACACTAAAACACAAATTTAAAAATGGATATTAATTATTTATATTTCCGGTTAATTGTGAAAAGCCCGGCTAGCTCAATCGGTAGAGCGTGAGACTCTTAGGTTTCTAGTTATCTCAAGGTTGTGGGTTCGACCCCCACGTTGGGCGCATTCATTTTTTAAACTTTTTTTATTTTTGGTATTAATCTGGGATCTTAATATTCGTAGTGTGATTTAAATAACCGGGATTGACAAATTTGTATAAATAATGTAATCGACCCTTTTTAAAAAATTATTTGCTCTAAATTATTAAAATTTCGAGAGGGAATCCGTCTTCTGGGCCAACTGTACCAAAAAAATTTCGCTGGCCAATCGAATTCCAAAGTCAGGGGGTAACTCAAAAAAAAAAGGTGTCATCGATAAGTTACCACAAATTACCAGTGAAAGCAACTTATATTTTATTTCGTGTTTTATGTTTATTAACTAGCAATAACTCTCGCTTTGCTTCGGGCATATGCCGTATATAATAAAAAGTCAATAGATTTTTACACTGTTATTTTACAAAAATTAAAAGCTATCTAAATAATCTGCCAATAAAACAAATATTAAAATACGTTGTTTAAAATTACAGTATATAGCATGTATTTACATATTATGCATTGTAATTTTTATTATCTTGTTATACATATTAATAACAATAAAATATTTATTACGTGGAGTTGAGTAGAAAATCAAGCGAATTTTTTTTTAATACTGTACAATTTTTTAAAACTTCAAGCAAAGATAGCTCAAACCAAATCTTAATCAAATTTAATAAAATAAATTTTATAAAGTTGTAGAATTTATTTAAAAAAGTATTTATTAAATTGATTAAATTTGGTTATATTATCTATCTTTGAAGTTTTAAGATACTGTCTTACTAAAATCGATCACAAGGTTAAAGTTTTTCTGTTACGCGTTTGCATACTCCATAATTCAATAGTTCAAGGAAACTTATTATTTATGAAATTTTCGTAAAGCTATTTATACTGAAAATTTGTAAAACTATTTACACTGTATAACACATGATTTAGGATAGCCTGTTTCAAACACCAGACTCGGGGTTGAAAAAAAACTTGCAATACTGCAATATAAGAAATTTTTTTTGTTATAATAAACGGGTAACCCTTTTTTTTTTAAAAAAAAAGACTGGATTATTGGATTTATTCTAAAATAGTAGGTAATTACTATGTCAATAACCTGGCATACATTCAAGAAATAGGTTAACTTAATTTGTGTTAGTCTAGGTTGTGTATTTTTTTTTTGATAATTTTCAATCACTAGAAAAAATCTTAGACGAGAGCTTAACTTTGTCTGGCACTGTATATTCAAAATTTATTTAAACTTTTAAATTTATTGAAAATGTATTGATAATTATATACTAATATTTATATTCGAATGTTTCTAACTGAAGTTCATCATATTAACGTTAGAACAATTTTTAACAGTACTAAGTGCCTACAACTTTAGCACGTTAAACATACTGCCGGCGCGAATTGCGTAGGTACTAGGCACTATATAAATAAACATTTATGAAAAAAGATGAAAAAATCGAAAGATATTTTAATTAATTTGAAGGAAAATCATTACCTCTAAATCTTCATGGTGCTGTGATTTGTTTGTAGTTTCTCGGCTAACAGTATCAATAAAATGGTATGTGAAGGTTTAAAAAAGA